AGTCATATTGGTGATGGCGATGTGGGCGGAGAGGGTTGGAAGCAGGAACCGCTGGCTGTCTCGCAAACTCCGATTGTCACCGGCGATGAACACTCAGACGGTGGCGATGATTCGGACGACAGCAACAGCATCACTTTCAGCTCGAGTGATGGTGACGATGACGATGCCTGGGGCGGTGAGACCTGGGGCGGTGAGACCTGGGGCTGCGACGAGAAACATCACGATGCTGCATACAATGTTGCCGATGATGCTGGTAGTGGAGGTGTTGGTTGTTGTCAACGTGGCGGCTGGCTGAGACGCCTGTGTTTGGCCTTGGCTGCTTTGGTTTCAAGGTGGCACAACAGGGCGACAGTGATTGGTGACACCGCACTTCCCGTTGCTGTGAAGATGACGCGGGCATTCCCTGACGGCACGTACGACGACACCAACTTGCGGTATGAGGCCGCGTCTCTGGCGCAGTTTCGCCACTGCAAGAACATTGTGCAGCTGCTTGGCGTGGTGACGGCTGGTGACCAGCCCATGCTGCTTGTGCTGGAGTACTGCGAGCACGGGGCGTTGGATTCGTTCCTGCAGCGCTACACGCTTCGCCGCCAACTCGACTGGGCCACAAAACTCAAGATGGCCCGCGACATTGCCAGAGGTACACGCGAGTGTGTGTTGTCGTTGGTGGTGGTGGTGTTGTTGTCGTTGCTGTTGTTGTCGTGTGTGTGTGTGTGTGTGTGTGTGTGTGTGTATGTGTGTGTGGTTTTGTGCACCACGTGGCCCAAACACGCGTCATGGGTGCGTGTGCGCGCACGTTGATTTGAAGTATCCTCTCCGTGGCTCCTCCTATTCATCACATGCTCGAACATACCTCCTCTCTCTCTCTGTGTAGGCATGCGGGCCATTTCCACGGCTGGCGCGTTGCACATGGATCTTGCTGCACGCAACGTGCTTGTGAGTGCAGACATGACGTGCAAAGTGGCCGACTTTGGATTGTTCAAGGACCACCAGTACTACGAGATGCACCAGGAGAAGATCATCCCTGTCCGTTGGACGGCGCCCGAAGTCCTCAACCTCCAGCGGGTGAGCCAACCTGTGTGGCGTGCGGATGTGCGTGTGCAGGGAGGGGTGTCTGCTCTGTATTCATGTGTTCATGCATCAGTGCGTGCGTGTGTCTGAAAGTGTGCCTGCGTGTCTGTAAATCAGTTTCTGTGCAGGTGTGTTCACGTGAGATGTTCGTGTGTTGGTGCACGAGGATGTGTTGGCGTGTTATAAGCAGCGTGTACAGTTGCCGTCTCGCGCTTCCCAATCACGTGTTGTATCCGCTCATATTCATTTGTTGAATGCACCAGTTCTCCACTGCCAGCGACGTTTGGAGCTATGGCATTGTGCTGTTCGAGATTGCGACAAAGTGAGTACACGCCACACATGCCCACCACTTCACCGCCTGCACGCATGGCTTTATTGCACACGCGGTTGTGGGTGTATTCGCCATTGCATCCCCGCTTCATCCAAGTTCTCCTCGCACATTACATGCGTACCCACACATGCGTACACACAGACGTACACACATACGCTCACACACATCCACACATTCACACATGCACACACTCGCATACATCCACACGCTCGCATACACACACACTCACTTGCACACATTCACACACTCGCATACACACGCATTCACTTACACACATTCACACATTCACACGCCCATCACATGGTTCTGTTCCATGCGCGATAGTGCGTGCGAGAAGCCGTACAGCAGCATGTCCAACACCGCTGTGGTGGAGGCTGTGTCCTCTGGCCATCGCCTGCCCTGCCCTGCGTGCTGTCCTCTCGAGGTGTACGGACTCATGCTCCAGTGCTGGATGGCGGATCCTCAGGAACGCCCCTCGTTCGCCGATATCGCACACACGCTCACGTCCACCATGCGCACAGTGGCAGCGGGCCGCGAACTGCAGGGAACACTGCACATCACAGGGACGCAGATGGCGCTGGGTGATCGTGGCAGCCGTGGTAGTTGTGCTGTTGGGAGCGGTTGTGGTAGCAGTAGTGGGACTGATAGTGTTGGGAGGAACAGCATTGTTTCAGGGCCGCAGAAGAGGGGCAGTGACTCCGCTGTGGTGTCGTGGGATGGGGGCAGCGGTGCTGATGCTGTTGATGTTGGTGGGGTGATGCATCCAATCCACCCAGCGCAAGCACACGTCCTGCAGCAGCAGCAGCAGCAGCAACTCTTTGCCATGCAGCAGCAATTCACGATGCAACAAGAACAACAACAAGAGCAACAGCAGCAGCAGCAGCACCAGACATCGGCAACTCCTGTTGCGCCAGTCATGTGTGCTGGTCCAAACATTGCTCAACCACAGCAACAGTGTTACGTGCAACATCAGCAGATCTCCTTCCCCTCAGATAGCCAACAGCATCAGCAGCAGCAGTACCAGTACCAGCAGCGAGCAGACGGCTCGCCACTTGTGCCGCCGAGGGATGTGGTGAATATCATGTCCAAGCTGAAACAGCAGGGCTTTGCAATGCACCGGCACGACGCACCGCAGCACTTGCGCCCAACGAGTGTCCCCATAATTGCGCACGTTAGCCACAGCAGCAGCAGCAATCCGAGCACGGGCTACGGCTCCACGTTCGTGTCTGATGGCGAGTACGCCACCATGCAGGGGCAGCGGACACGCCGTGTCAGCATCAACAACAGCCGCCACGACAGCAAGCGAGGCAGCGTCTTGTACGCGCGCACATCCGTGTCATCAGCTCTGCAGTCACAACAGTGGCACCAGCAGCACCAGCACCAGCAATCGCAGCAACAGCAGCAGCAGCATCTGCAAGCAAGTGTCGGCCATGCACCAGCGATGGTGATTGCCCCTCAGCGCCATGACTTGGGCGCCCGAATTCACATTGATGATATTCCAACGGGTGGTGGTGTCACTGACCAAGAAGACGCCTACACGTCACTGCAGCATCTGCCACGCCACGGTGCGTTGCACTTCCAGCAGCAGCATCTGACAACAGCACGCCCTTCCATCGATGCTCGTGCACCCACAATAACAGCAGCAACACCAACAGTCATGCCAGCAACAGCAACGCTGACACACACATTGCAACATCAGCCAGTTCTAAGTTATCAAGCCTCGCGTGTGGTTGATCCTGAGCAAGCATCTCGTGCCTTCAAGACACGGCTGCCGCGACCATCAGCAGTGCATCGGCTGGCGTCACCACCACCGCCACTGCCCGAATCGTTCCCTCGCTCACGCTCACGCTCACCAGCACCACCGACAACAACAACAACAACAACAACAACAACAACAACAAAACCAGCGGCAGCAGCAGCAACAGCAACAACGACAGAAGTAACACGGGCTTCATTGAGAAGAGAGCGTGTACCTGGTAAGGAGGTGCAGCAGCCACTTCAGCACGAGTGCGCGTCAAGGAATGGCACATCGACGGCACCCCCTGACTTGCCACATTTGCCCGAACACAACAGTGCACGCCACGAACCAGCACCATCGCCCACGGCCTTGCCACATGCAGCTGCCGTCGACCGCGTCTTCACCGCATCTTCTGTGTCGACGCCGCGACCTCCAGGCGCATTCGACTTTGCACTGTTTCATTCCAATCTTGCTGCTTCCCTTTCCTTCACCAGCGACAGCGAGGCCTAGATGCTGCTACTGCTGTTGTTGATCTGTGTATGTACGTGTATGTGCGTGTGTACGTGCGTGTACGTGCGTGTGTGTACGTGTATGTATGTGTGTGTATGTGCGTGTGCGTGTGTGTGGCCACGCTTTCAACGATTGCTTGGTGTCAATCAATTATCTATTCGAATAGACTACATGTAAAGAGCAAGAAGAATTCCCGGAACGGCTAGAGAACAGCGCATTGGACTGGCCAGCAGCACACACACGAACAAGGGTATCAGTTCGAACAAGGTCAACAAGCCAACCGTGTGTGAGTGTGTGATGCGCCAGTCATACGTGCGCATTCATCTCAACGTGTGTGCCACACACACCAAGGTCATTCGTTCATAACACACACACACACACACACACACACACACACCCACCCTGCGTGCGCTATGCGAGCGGCTGGTCCGGGTCTGTGGCGGTGAAGAACTTGAGCATTCTGGCAGCAATTGCGCGGCCAATGCGCTGCCGGCGCCCGCGCGGGACCATCTGGCACGCGGCAGTGTGGGCGGTTGAGATGGAGGGTACCGTGCAGTGGGAGGGTGTTCGTGAGGTGGAGAGAAAACGGTAGAGATGGCGACATCACGAACGAGGGGCAGCCACAAAGCTGCACAAACAAACACATGCGCACACACACATGCACACACATGCACACACCTCTGAGACTGCCTCAAGTCCTGCAAGCAGAGCGCCTCGGTGAGGGCGTGCGGAGAGCGAAACCGCTGTGCAATCGCGTGTGCTGAAACGAGGATGCACCAAAGATCATCAAGCAGA